ATTGGAAAAAAGAGTAAAAAAAAATTGATAACTTCTTTACATTGAGCTTAGCTCCTCCTTGCTAAACTAACTTTAAATTTATATCAGTCCTGGTGTTAATCATAAGCTATCTGGAATTTCCTAGTCCCGTGTTTATTTTGTATATAATCAATCCATTTTTCCCCATCTCGTTTATCCATATTTATTTTGTATATAATCAATCCATTTTGCCCAGTCTCATTTATATCTCTCGTTTATCTTACCGACAGTAACCTGGGTTAGATATTCATAAAGAATTTAAAGAATTCTTAGCTGAAGAATCTGAGTGATGTAACAACATTTAATTAAAACTCTCCCCCTCCTCCATTTCAATTCTAGGCTAGTCCTGTTTTCTGTCTTTCAGCCTCATAATTTGGAACTGAATGGAGAGTTAATGGCCATGCTTCGTTAAGGTTGATAGTAGTACTTTCTAGGACATTAAGTGGAAAAGCTACTTTGGAACAATACAGAATCTTCACTTAAGTTACTTCAATTCCCAACAAACAAAGGTTCTTAATATTCAGGTAAAACTAAAAAGATGCTTCATGGGCAATCCCAAATTTGTTTAATTAGTAGGAAGCCCCCTTTGAGTTTGATTAACTTACTCTTGGAAAAGATTCACATCCAATTGGTACCTGAAATGAGGATTCGGGAAGGACCAGCCTTGGAGAACTTACCTTGCCAGAGCTTGATTAGAGAGGAGCTGCTTCAGATGTTGAGACAATAGCTTCTTTTCAAGAGACAGTCTTATCCATGCCCGGGCCCGACCGACATCAGTTTTTATTTCACTCATGTTCTGAATGTGCCTTCCGGGGAGGGGGGGGGGGAAGAGAAGAAGAACCACAATTAATATCTATTGGAAAGCAAACGATATAGCTATCCTTAGTAAGGTGGGTAACCTGAAATGGCTGAGCAAATACAAACATACTTTTCAAGTAGACAGCTATTTGACATTACAACTGCCAAAACATTTTAGGGAGATACTTACGCGAGCGAGATTCGAACAGCTTGACGCAATGGTTGGATATGGGAGATTCCATTCTATACCCTACAACAGTGGAGGAGAACCTTTTTCTTATGAGTTGCCAAAATTCTGCACACGCGTGCTATCACGCGCGCACATGTGCCCACTCAATCTCCCTGCCCAAGTGCGCATGCCTGCGCAACCCCTGTGCATTCGCCTGGATGACCCCACCCCACGCATGCACGTTTGACCCCTCCCCAGGCTCCGGAGGCTTTCCTAAAGCCTGGGGAGGGTGAAAAGGCCCCCCCTAGAGTTCCTCCCGAAGTTGGAAATGGATCATTTCTGAACTTCCAGTTGGCCCGTTGGAGCCGTTTTTGCCCTCCGCAGCCTCCTGAGGCTTTCTTGAAGACTGGGAGGGTGAAAACGTGCTCCCTCAGCCTTCCGGAAGGGCAAAAAACTAGCTGGCTAGCACATGCATGCGCGCCAGAGCGGATGGCTGGTGTGCCACCCAGTATGGCTCATGCCACCTTTGGCATATGTGCCATAGGCTCGCCATCACGACCCTACAATGAGCGTCTCTGCATTTGTGGAGTGGCAGAGGTAGAAGACCTGGCTCACATTCTATCTGATTGCTGCTTGTATAAGGGGGTTTGAGACAGATACTTTGGTCTATATACCAAACGAATGGCCCATTGGGGATCCCCATATCAAAACAACTTACTTTATGTGTGGCCAGAATTGAAAATAACATTTAACACAGCACAGTACTTAAACAAAATGGTTAGGTTGAGATCTGCATACGTGGGACTCATTGGGGTAGATTGTAAGGGTGACACCAAAATATAATTTTATGTCATTTTATTCTATTTAACATGCTTATGTATTAAATTAAATTATATTGTATCTTATCCTATAACTATTGTATTTTACCTTACTCTTATTTTAAATTGTTTGTATAAGATTT